TGCATCTCTATGGTCAGAAACTTGGCACCAGTTCTGGGACATTGCTGTCCCTGTGTTTTAAGCAGTCACCCTGGTGATTGTTCATTGTCCAACCCTGTGTTCCCATGCTCTCTTCACCACAGCCAGCGCCAGATGTGGGAGGGGATAACTGGCAGCACATTCTCAAAACTCCTCAGGACTCACTGCTCTACTCCCAGCTTCAAGAACATGACCTTTCCAGTGAGAGCATCCTGACTCCACCACCACCACCACTCCCCCTCAACATACTTTACACAAAACAGTTGCTTATGCTCCTTTATGTAAGTGCAGTAAAAGTTATCTTGGGCACAGTTGCATCTTTTGTTAATTAAACCTTCAGCCGTGCTGCTTAGAATTATTAACAGCCATTGCAAGGATAATAGTCTGTCCATTAAAATGAGCCTAAGTTTCATTTTTATTATCCTTTTAATTACATACACCCTTTGGCATAATTATAATGATGAAGCCACAGTGGGATATGCCACCAGCAGGTGTGGCTGTCTCTGCAGGATGCTCTGGGGAGGACGTGCCTGGTACCTACCACAGTTCCTCAATCTTCTGACCACGGTGCTCTGCTCTCCTTGACCTTGTGACTCCATGTCCCTGGATGGGTGGGAGCTTGTTCCCAGAGGAAGGGAGATCAACCCAGTGAGACTCTACCAAGAGACTGCCCAGAAAGGTCACACAGTTGGTCTTGCCTACTGGCTTTCCTCCTTCTAAAACCCAAAATGTGCTGTTATATGTGGCCTTCCACCTTGGGGACTTGGTATTTCCCAGCAGGTTTTAGTTTCTATTTTTGTCTACCTTTTATATAGACACACAAGAAAAGGTGATGAGCTACTTACTAATTCCCAGGTAACACCATCTCGATTCCTAAAGTCTTCTTTCCTATCCCACATCACCTAATTTCACCTCAAAAACACAAATCAGCTGAGTTCAAGTACTGCCGAAGGACATAGGATGTCTGAAGGAATTGTGCACATAGAGATTTAGTCACTTCTCTAAAGTCACAGAACCTACTAGAAGTTAAACAGGTTCTAAAGCTCAGGCTTTAGGACTCAATAAGCCATACTTTCACATCCCATATCCCTACTCTAGCAGTTATGGACCCTTCTGCACCTAGTAAGATATCAAAGGTAGGATTTGAACCCCATCCCACCTGACTCCATGGTTATACACATTCATCATAATACTTTTAAGCAATTGCTGTGTTGAATATTTGCTACAGATATCTCCCTGCCTTATGGAACTCTGTTCCAATACAAGTGAGAGGCATGGAAAAATACACACAGTGTGATAGCTGAGAGAGACAGAGACAGGCAGAGAAGCTACTTCCTTTTAGGAGCCCCAGCATAGCCTGGAGCAGAAGGAGGTAGTAAATGGGAGATGGAAACTTCCGACTTGTAGGAAGAGGAAGTGGAAAGGAAGAAGCCATGCCAGTTCTAAGATGAGCCATTTTTAACGAATGCATCTGCCTTGTACCACAAGTTTTTTTCTCATCCAAAGATTTCTTAGTGTTCTGCCCTTTCCTGGGCTTGCTTTCCAAATACAAACTCATTCGAAAGCTTCCTTTACATCTAATTGAACACTCGGACTTAATTGATTATGTATTAAGTTGGGGACTTGGGGTGACATTCAGGCCTGGGCTCATGTTGAGATTAATTTATTCCTGTAGTCTTACTGTTATGTGATGCATCCGAGTATCTCACATGTGTGTTAAAAATAAAACTGAGAGTCAGGGCAATCTAATTAGATGGCTTAACCCAACACCCTGGTGTTCAGGCTTCACCAAGCTCTCCTGCTTTGATGGTAACCGAAATAGATGAATAAGTTAATCAAAGGTCTGATTAAATAGCACAGCCGTGCAGCCTGGACCATTGATTGCCAGGCTTCAGTTCAGGCAAATTCTCCAGGGAGAGAAGAACCAGAGCTGAGTTCCAAAGGCCAGCCTTTCATGAGGGAGAGTTTCTAAAACACACTGGAGGGAATTGCTGGCTGAATTCTCAGATCTGAACGTGAGGCCTCTCTGGGAAGCTAACTCCCAAAGAAGGATGATGTGATTTGGGGGGAAAGAACGGGAACCTTCCCCTGGCAGATTCTAACTATAGCTTCTCATCATGTTTGGTGAGGGACTGCAGACAATCACTTCCCTTCTCTGCTGCCATCTAAGCATCCTCTGGTGTACATTTCACACCTGTTCTCTCTAAGGCATTGCTCCTAAGTGGTGTGTTTAAAGGCTGGTCTTGCCTTGGCTGTAAGTCTGTGCTGCTTGTGCTAGGCTTATCTTCTCTAGCCTTTCCCCACCCAGAGGCTGATGGATAAAGACTGCCTTCCATACATACCCTCAGGCCTCTATGTGGATGGAATTAACGGTCACCAACCAGAGACATCATTTTGTGCTGGAGGAGAGTAAGGGTGAGATGTGTGTTAGGGCCAAAAAAAGCCACAGAGGACAGACAGAGACAGCTCAACACCAGCACAGACTTATTGTGGGGAGAAAACCTGCAGATTGGAGCTTCTACCTTCCAGCCAACGAAGCTAGACACAAAACCACTTGTGGACTAGCCCTAAGAGTGGGTTGTGGAGGCTTGAAGCTCTCTGGCAGGGATTGGTGCTAAAGTAACTAAGGGCAGGACATAGATAGTGTGGGGAAAGTGGTCACAGGGGTAGAGAGCAAACCAGGCAAGCTATCTGCTCAAAGCCCTACTCTGTGTACAGTGGCAGTAAATTTTTGGTCTGGTTCATCCAGGCAATGACAGAAGATAAGGGAGTGGGGGAATGGATGTAAATCAAGACACTGCTCTGTGGTCTCAAGATAGGACACCTGGCTGTTGAAAACTCAACAATGTACCTTCCAGGGTTTTTTGGTTTTGTTTTTTTTTTATTGTAAAGATATTGTACAGAGGGTTTACAGTTACATGAGCAAGGTAATGAGTCCATTTCCTATTGAGCATTGTTACACCCTCCTTTGTTTTTCCCCTACCATCCCTTGCCTCCCCACCTCCCCAACTCCTCCCTCTCCCACCCCCAAGTTGTAAAGTTCGTTTTCAGCATACTTTCTTGTACATCTCATTATTACAGTGGGTCATCCTGTATCCTTAATTCAGCATTTTGTTATTTCCCTTCCCCCTCCTCTAATTAGAAAATGTACATACAAGATGCAAAACACCTAAATGAAATGAACCCCAATAGGGACTCAAGAGGTTTAATTTTGTTGCTGTTCTCTTTAATGTACTTATGATGTACTATGTGATTTATTTATTTTTTGTTTGTTTCATTGTATGTTCTTCCCCCATGGTACAACCCCCGATGTCACTGTAGTTGATTCCAGTACCTTCCAGGTTTTGTCTTAGAAGTTGCCATTGATAGACTGTGCCCTCTCTCTCTCTCTCTCTCTCTCTTTCTCTCTCTCTCTCTGTGTGTCTCTCTCCTCTCATTTGACCTTAGAGGTCATAGGTAGTAATACCTAGTTGCTCTACCACTAGAGCTGAGCTCCGCTTCTGGATTTTTTGGCCCCAAATCGTGATCCTTAGATCTCAGCCTTTTGAGTAGCTACATTTGGAGGTATAAAAGCCACTGGCATCCAGCTTACTTTGTCATTATGTCTTAATGTATATTATGTTAAGTGGAAGCAGAGTATGCTTCCATAGTATGCTATTAAATAAACTTTATCCTCTTCCTAATTGTTCCATTACTTCATTTTACAACATGATGAGGAATATCTTTGGGAATTAACACTTAGATAAATTTGTATTTAAATTGTATATGATTTTCTTAAAGATCACATGGAATTATAAGGACAAAGGAGATAAGTTTTGAGTCCTGAAAGATGGCCTCATGTCTCATGAAAGGGTCTAGTATAATTCTTTAACTTTGTGGAAGGAAAATGGTGTGCTGCCACTGCTCCCTATAATGACCTTCATACTGACTTTGCACAGAGGAAAGTCCTTCACTCTCAGCAGCTGGGCTACTGTTAAGCCTTGAGTTTGGTTACCACCTAGTACTGAGTCCTGCTGATGAACCCACCACCCCTGTCAGCCATCTGTAGAATGTTCACGACTGTCCTTCTGTGTGTCTGTCCTCCTTTGTTATCAGATCAAGAGTGTTGACTGAGCATGACCAAATTCTCCTCATGTATATGAAAAGAAAAGAGGCTACAGGACTTAGCTATTCAATAACATCATAAAAATATAGATAAGATATTTAAATATGCCATTAAATAGTAATTGTTAATGACACAAAAATGAAATATGACTTAAACAAGTATATCTACCTTGGGACAATTAGGTATTGGTTTTGCAAAATATATATACTTTGAGTCACTGTGTTTTGTATCTCCTCTGGATGGATTAGTATTTTCCCTTCTGAGCCTCCATAATTTCTCTAATAACAAAATGGGTATTTTTTAAACCTCAGCATAAAGCTTATGTATAATAATGATTTTATAGATATTTCCTTTCAGCTATCTTGATTCAGATAATTTAAATTTTATTTCTCTCCATCTTGCTCTCTTCTGTTTATTTTTTCTGTGCTAGTATTGGGACTTAAGCTCAGGGTCTCATTTTTGTTTGACTTCTTTACTCATATGGTAGAACTTGGAATTCTACCTCTTGAGCCACACCTCACTTCCAGCTTTTTGTTGATTAACTGGGTATGATAACAGTGTCCCAGATTTATCTGACTGGGCTGATTTCCAGTGGGGATCTAAGGATCGCAGATCTCACCACCTGAAAAGCTAAGGCTTACAGGCATGAGTACTAGTGACCAATCCAGACACATATTCTTTCCTCAGAAGACCTCCTATGTCACAATTCTGTGCGCAAATCGTTGAAACAGTATTTGTTCATTTATTCAACAAATTTGGATTGGATACTTTTTATGTTTCAGGAATTATTAATAATCGTTAATAATGTTTAAGCAAAGAATTAATATAGTTATTTTTTTCTCTTTCTCCAACTTCCTTTATGTCCTCTTCTATTCAGTCTGAGGTTTCCTGGATCCCCAACAAACATTACTCTGGGATTTATGGCCTGATGAAGCTGGTCCTGACCAAGACTCTTCCTGCCAGCCTGGAGAGGGTCATTGTCCTGGACACTGATATCACCTTCGCCACTGACATTGCAGAATTGTGGGCTGTATTCCACAAGTTCAAAGGTAATTGCAGCTTGCTTTTGTTTGTTTTCTCAGTGCTGAGGATTCAACCCTGGACCTGATGAATGCTAGGTAAGCTCTTTCCTGCTGAGTTATCTGCCCATTTTTGTGTTTGTTTTAGAAAGATAATCTTGGCTTGGATGAGGATGAACTCAATAAGGAATTGCAAACACTGTTCAATATCAACTCAACTCTAATTTGAAATGTGTTAGAGTAAAATTAGAACTGGCATTTCCTTAGGAATTAAAAAGGGATGTTCATGTTCATAGAAGCCAGTTTAGGGTTCTTTGTAATCATATCAAATGTATATGTTTTGTGTGCCCCCTAATTGATTGTTAACATAGTTGTATAGAGATGGTTCATTTAGTGCTTTTTCTGTCAAACAACAATTTCGTTGCCAGGAATGTTTGTGAAGTGATAGAAATAGGTACTGGTTATGGAATGTTTGAAATATTCTTAGGGGTTTTGCTTTCATTCTCAACAGAGTCTAGTATTTTAAGGAGGTGTGTAAGTTTGACTTTAGGAAACATTTCTATTTATTTGGTTGGTTTCTCGTTTCCTGTTATTATGGCTCTTGTTTCTGCTTCCGTTTGGAGAGACATTGCGAACCCAGTGCACATGTTTACCTCTACTGTGGATGTAACTGAAGTAACAGGTGAACACAAAAATTTTAGTTGTCCTCTCTGAAATTTCAGGATGGGAGAGAAATTTGGTACCTTTTAATGAGGTGGGACTGGGGTTTGAACTCAGAGCCTTGTACTTGCTTGGCCAATTCTCTACCACCAGAGCTAAACCCTCACCCTGTTCTGTTTTAGTTTAATTTTCAAGGAAGGTCTTAATTTTTTCCTGGGGCTTGCCTAGACTACAATCTTTTTTACCTTTACTCCTCACATAGCTGTGATTACAGGTGTACGCTATGAAGGCACACTTGCTTTTTGAGATAGTCTTGTTGTCTTTTTGCCTATGCTGTGGTGAACCTGATTTTTACCATTCTCTACCTCCGAAGTCAGTGGACTTTATTTTTTTATTTCTCTTTATCAAATTTCACTCTGGCTTCTGTGTCCAACATCTCTTTACCGCTTATAGTCCTTTACCGTAGTGTGAAATACCAGTTAATGATTATAGACCATAGCATATTCATGCTGACTCCAGTCACTGCTTGCTTATTTCTAGGAACTTCTTTGTTCTGGCTAATTGAAGGAAGTTTTCGGCAAATTGTGGGGTCACACCATCATTCCTTATTGGGATCAATGTTGACTTTTTGTATGCTTCTTGAGGTCTCAGCCTTCAGCCTGTATAGTGCTCAACGTGTAACTGGGACCTCACTGGATCAGGAAATGAAAACTTGAAGTTGGGAAATTACATCTGTTCTACTGTAACCCTAGTGCTTAGAGGGCTCTGTAGCCAATAGCAGCAGCAGCAGCAGAAATCATGGGTTTAAACACCCAGTGCTATTCATGGAAGGGGAAGAAGGCATTGTGGCTCTTAGTACTCCTGTTCCTGGATCAAAGACTTGGAACTGGACTACCCTGGACTTCAAGGAGATACCTAGGGATGAGCAAAGTACATGGGCTAAGGTCAGAAGAGGGTCAAGGAACACTTTGATGTAAATGGGGTCACTAATTAGCTTGATCTAGACTTTGTTAGGTCTCTGCTGTACAGAGGAATGTATTTATGTATGTAAGACATACATAAAACTTACATACATAAAACTTCCAGAACACAACACCTCCTTTCAGAGACCTGGCACCACTGATGGAGAGGAACTATTCCATGCCTGTCCTAATTTTCCTTAGAAAATATGGAGATTAAAGTAAATAAGCATTTACTTCTCTATATGTCAGTCTTGTGTAAAACTTTTATTTGTAGGACTCTGTTGATTTTTTTCCCCTACATCAGAACACTTTAACGGCCATGAAAACAAAAGCCTGCTAGGACACAGATGTAAAAGCCAAGTGTTCTGGTCCAAGAGGACGAATATTCCTCTCATCAAAGCATTTTGCTCTTGACATCTCGCACTGAAAACATTTTGAGTGACATTAATGCAGTTTTGGTCTTGTTCATCTCTGGTTTAGAGCAGCTAGTTGTCTGGGGCTGCAGCCGCTCTTGTGTTGAGATCACAGACTTGATTCCTTAATGGTGCTATAGAGTTCCTGTCCCTAATGTCATCCCATGGAGAATGTATTAAGACGCCTTTTATTAAGGATGCACAGCCAGCTCAGCCTCTGCCACTAGGAGCTCTTTTCCTGATTCTAGGAGATGTCTCAGATGTCCTGCCTGGACCCTAACCTCCATCCCGCCCACTCCACATCAGCCACCTGCTCCCTTACCCAGCCCATGCCAGCCTTATTCTTGGTAATAAGCTGACATGCTTTCTGGCTATAATCAGGAGTTATCTATTCCATCGTAGTTACTGAGCACCTTTTCATTGCCAAACAGTTTTCAACAGTTGGGAATATTCCAAGAATAAAACAACCCAAGCACTAGCCCATTAAGTTTACATGTTGTTAGAGGGAGACAAACGGTAAATAAGTGAAATGTAGTAAATGATGCTATAGAGGAAAATGCATAAGAAAGGTATAGATGTGTTTGGAGGATGTGTGTGTGTGTGTGTGTGTGTGTGTGTGTGTTAGTATTCAGAAAGGGCAGGATCTCAAGCAGGATATCTCACAAGCAGGGTGAGGGAGATCTCCAAACAAAGACTTGAAAAGTTAAAACAGTGGCAATCAAGGAAGTAGGTGTCTAGGGAGGAGTGAGCTAGTGTCTGGTGCACAATTAAGCTTTGCTATCAGTGGTCATGACTACAGGGTAGAACTTAGGCTAGAACTAAGTGTACCCGAGAAAAGAATGGGGTTGACAAGGTCATATCACAGGCAGGACCTGTTGATAGAACAATGCAAAGCTATTTTGAGAAACCATAGGTGGACCTTGAGCAGAGGCATAACTTGACCTGTATTATATTGATAATGCATCATTCTGGCTGCCCTTTGTGATGGTAGAAGGAAGAAAGGAAACTAGTTAGGGGACCGGTTTAGTCTTCTATGTATGTGGGAGATGATGTTAGCTTGGACCTAGGAGGAGAAAAGGTGGTAGAAGTCATCACATTTTTAAGGTCAAGTTGCCAGGATATTCAAGGGAGAGAAGGAGAGCAGAGTGGAGTGTGACCCATAGTGACTGGCAGGTGCAGAGGGACTGGTGAGACACTGATTTGCAATAAGAAGTCAAGGGGAAGGCCAGGGAGTTGGGTTGATTTGAGCAGAACTGCATCCAAAGATGAGAAACAGGAAGAGAGAGTGTTTGTGATGCATGGAGAAAGTAACTACTATTTGTTTAAGTACAGCTTTTGTTCCAGGGTCTGAGCTAGAAACATTACACATGTAAAATGTAATAGATTAGGCCCAAGAGAGAGAACAAATTTCTGTCTGTGCTCCAAGAGCTATCACATACCACAGCAGTCCAGGCCCTGTGCTTTGGAGTCTGTGCTCAAGTCTCCTTGAATCCCACTGGGAGGGGAGGGGCACCCACCAACCTGGGAGCTGAGGTCTTCACTTAGATCAAATGCCTGTGGTCATGTAGAGACACTGAGTGTCTTCTTCACTAAGGCCACATAACATTGGAAGTTTGGGGAGGATGTTGTAAATGCATAAATAGTAAATGCACACCCGAAACTTGAAGCTTTTGGAAGAAAACCTGGCTGAACATAAAAGAAAGTGTTTGGATTCATAAGGGCAAATGCCTCTCCCTGAAGAACGGTGTTTCTACAGCAGGTGCCTTGAGCATGTTGTGCCAGCAGGAGTCTCTCAAGGATGCAGTAGACTCCCTGTGGCTAGCCAGAGGTAGGGTTCCCAGCGCTTACTCTGTACCAGCCACTCTCATCTCCACATCCTGGCATGAAGACATCACTTCCCATGGACACCAGTGTGATAGTTCTCACCTATATTCCTAGCTACTTGAAATCTGGAGGTTTCTGGTTCTAGGCCACACCTGACAAAATGTTTAGAAGATCTTTTTTTTAATTTTTATTTATTTTTTTATTGTGAAAATACTGTACAGAGGGGTTACAATTACATGGGCAAGATAATGAGTACATTTCTTATCAAGCATTGTAGCCTCCTCCTTTGTTTCCCCTTCCCATCCCTTCCCATTCTCCCTCTTCCCCCCCCCCCCCACCAAAGTTGTAAAGTTCGTTTTTGACATAACAACTTGTACATCTCATTGTTGCAATGGGTCCACCTGTATCCCTATTTAAACGACTTGTTTTTCCCCTTCCCCTCCACAAATTATACCGACATCCAATACAGTGAAAGCAGGGGTTATACTGTGGGAGAGGGACATACAAAGCAACAAAGAAATAATCTTTTAAATGTGTTAGAAACAATCGGATGAAAGAAAAAATACATATCTTAGTGTTCATTTCCCTAACATCACCTTATCTGTCCTTTTCTGCTTGACTCAGACATATACTAGATATTGCAAATAAGAAGATCTTATACCAATCAAAAAGTATAATAGTCCGTCCCTGCCATCCTAGTTACAAGGGATGGGTAAATGGATTATGGTCCACACACTGGTCACCTCATAGATGTGAGACCCTATCTGAAACCTGTAAACGTGGCTGGAGGGTATGACTTAACTGCCGAGGACCTTGAGTTCATACTCAGGTACCACCAAAAGCCAACAAACAAAAAAGATTTGAGGAGAGATGCTTACAAAGAAAAAGTAGTTTACCCAAGCTCTTAGCCTTCTTAAGATATAGAACTGGGATTTGACCTCAGACAACCTAGATAGAAGTCCAGTCCTCTTCACCCTCTACTTCTGAGAAGTAGTAGTAGAAGTAAGTCATTGGAGAGACTGAAAGAAGGAATTCTGGTCATATAATCCTATTTGTAGAGTTCAGGCCCCACACTCCAACAACACATGGCAGGTTAGAGCTCAGGAGCTGCTTGTTTTTCCGGCATACACCTATAATCCCCACATTCAGTAGACTGAGGTTGGAGGATTGT